AAGAGGTGAGGAACAAGATGAAGGAGCTAAAGGAGGCTGCTTGCAAGGTCTTAAGGGACGATGGGTCCTCCACAAGGGCACTTGATCAAGTTTCCTCCAAGTGGAAGGCCCACCAGTTGGAGCTTGACGGTACCCATTAACTTTTTTTTTTTTTTTTTGCATTTTTAATATTTTCTTTTTTGTATCATGTATAATTAAATTACTTGTGTAACTATGTATGTTTGTGTTGTATTGTTTTGATACCAGTGATCAATTTTCGTTAATAATTGAATAACTAAATCCATTCCAATTGAATTAGATATAAAAGTAATTGAATCGAATTCGATACATTTATAAAATTCAAGAAATTAACTTCCAACGGAATAAAAAATAATAGAAAAATCTATTTTTTTAAATGAATATATCATTCATTAACCAAAATAATACTAAACCAACCAAACCAAGTTAAATTCGATATAAAAACCAAAATAATCGAATTGCAATAAAACTCAAAATGCCACTCGAACTTAGTTATTGCCCTTTCTTGAATTTGTTTAACTGAGTAATCCTTCGATTAATATATATATATATATATATATATATTATATATTGTGTACGTATTTTTGTAGAGAGAGGTTAGGGAAACTAATAAAACTGTGTGGTGGGAGTGGGTGTGAAATAAAAGGTGGTGCATTAGATTAGAACGTTGAAGACAGAAACGCCGAGGAGTGTGGACCCCGTTACCACATGTCGTTTCCTGACATGTAAAACGACACCCACTTTATGGATTTTTTTTCAGTAGGTGGATTGGCACTTTCAACAATGTAAAGACATCAACATCATTTTTTTTTACGGATTTGAAAAAAAAAAGTTGTGATATAAATCCTTCTAGATGGTGAACCTCACGTACGTATACTTAGTTTTAAGTATCAAAGTCTTGGTTTCGCGTAACTTTCTTTTACCATAAATAGAATATGCATTACAAATTTGCTAACCAACATATTGTGTATGATAATAATATTAATAATGATGGTGATGATGATGACAAATAGATACGTACTAATATTGAACTATCCAACTAACATTATATTAAAATATGATATAAATAAGGTTATTCTAAGTTGGGTTGGAATATGTAGACATGTCGCTAATTTCGATTTCCGTTCGAAGATCCTCCAAATTTGTATGTGAAAAATGATATAATTTACGCCAATTTGATGTAAATTGATGACTTTATATAATTTAATATGTATAAAGAAATAACAAATATTATTTACTCCTAGAGAAACATGGCCATGGGTGTAGTTATGCAAATTTAGAAATGGGTTGGGTTTAATATCCCACTGAAAAAATATAGTGAAAATAATTTGTATACAAAAAAAAAAAATGGGAAAGATCAGTCTTGGAAAAGCCACGCACTGCCACTGGAATCAAAAGCCATCAATCATTGTCCACTCCAAGACAACGCATTGGATAAAGCTCTCTACTAATCTATACCCCACGCACTCACGTTTTATACAAATATACGCATATATATATATATATATGTGTGTGTGTGTGTGTGTGATATATATATATATATATATACGCACTTTATTTTTATGGACGCACTGAACATATTTTATAAATAGATGCATAAAGAAAATGGTATTTGTTGGGCGCAGCTAGATAATAAAGTTGATATATATACATATATACATTTAATTTTTTGGCAAAAGAAATATAGCTTAATTACGTGTGTAAAGTAGTGGGCCGGAAGATCGGTAAAATGTTGTAATGGGCGAAAACAAATGATAAGGGCTTTGGCATAGGCCCAAATTAATTTTGAGGCCTAAATTTCTCATGTTATATATGATTAATGCGACTTTTTAGTATTATAGGTGTAAAATGAGTTGGATAATCAAATTCAATCTAATAATAATTCTATTTGCATTGTTTAGTCTAGATGGATTGTGTTTATTTAATGGTCCAACTGATTAAACCCATGCATTTATCCAATTAACTCATTTATCAATTGTAGATATTATTTCTATTCTATTAGGCCATAATTTCCCCAAAAATCACAACAAAATCCAAATTGAACGAAATATTATATAAAAAATAAATCCAAATCGAGAGTAATCTTATGTAAAAAACTGAATCCGAATCTAACGGAATCGTATATAAAAGCCAAATGTGAATAGAAAAGAATCATATATGTAAAAACCGAATTCAAATCGAATGGAATTAATCCTATGCTAAAACCAAATCTAAACCAAATAAAATTCAATATAAAAAATGAATGCGAATCAAATACGAATCGAACAGAATTTTGTGTAAAAACCGAATACGAATCAAATACGAATCGAACAAAACCCTATATAAAAATCGAAACATAATCGAACACAATTATATATAAAAAGCGAATTCGAATTGAATATGAATCAAACAAAATCCTATATAAAATCTACACTTGAACATAAATTGAAACAAACGGTGTTTTTTTTTTTATATATAAAAAACGAATCCGAATCCAACAAAATCTTATGTAAAAATTGATTTCCAATCGAAACTCAATCAAATTGGAATCATATGTAAAACCAAATCCAAAATGATACTGAATCGAATTAACCAAATTCGAATATAATCAAGCCGCATTCAATATATAAAAAGCAAGTGAATATATTTTATAAAATATAAATATGTAAGACGATATGCATTAATAATTTATAAATGAATTTAGTTAAATGTGTTCATTGGGTTAAATGGATTTAGTGAGTCAACCAATCTATTTAATTATCATTATTGTGTCAATCCAACCCAACCTATTAAATCATCCTAGTTGGGCTTAAATGGGTTGAATTAATAAATTGATATTACTATTTAGTATTCATTGTTTTTCCACCAATTTTTGGTATTTTTTATATGGTGAGATTCCTTTTTTTTAAAAGAGATTATAACTTGAAATTATAAAATCCCGGAACATAACCAGCTCGAATTTAATCCAAAACACACAGAGAAAAACTACAAGGGAGGAAAGAAGCAAAAGCCTTGGGTCGGACAAAAATTAATAATAAAAAAAAGGTGATAAAATATGATATGATAGAAAGAAGGGGGGGAAGATCAACGTAATTGGGATCTTCGATGGTTCTTCATGATCCAAAACCTCTCGATTTCTTCTGCTGTTCTCCCTGGGATCCTCCCAGCTATTAACTCCCACCTTCGTTACAAAAAAAAAACACAAAAATGGAGATTCAGACAGAGAAATTATAAAAAAAAACATGTTAGGGTTTTTTGTTGGTGGGAAAGGAGGGAAAAACCTGTCACCAACAAGCTTATGCATCCTGCAAATCAAATCCTCTTCTTCCCGGGACATGTTTACCACTTCCCACCCGATACTACTCACTTCTGTTTCACCTCACATATATACATATATATATATATATATCCACATATAATAAGAAGAAAAAAACCCAATCAAATAAAATTAAAAAGGGAAGGAGAAGGCGAAACGACGTCGTATATGTGGAAGAAGAGCTAGAGAGAGAGAGAGGAGGTGAAAGAAACCTTCGGAGGAGGAGGCGACGGGGCGATTGGGCTTTGGTTGCTTCTTACGACGCTTATCCATCTGAAACGCCGCCGTATTTGTTGAAACCACGACGATACACAGCTTCGCTGGTATATTTTTTTCCTGTGACCTGTACGGTCTGTATGATCCCTAGGGCTTCGTAGCAGAAGACTTTCTTATGCTATATATACGCATATATATATATATATATATATATATATATATATGTGTGTGTGAAGAAGAGAGAGAGAGAGAGAGGGAGAGAGGGAGGGAGAGACCCATTACAAAGCGACACGAGGAACTCATTTTTATAGTGTCGGAACTGCATTGTTCGGTCCGTTTTCTATCTCTGTTATTATTACTATTTTTACTATTTTCTTTCGCTATATATATGCATTGGTTATTCGCCATTTCGGTTGATATACCAATTTGGGAATTGTGAGCATATAATATACATATGTAAATGTATATACATATGTATATACCAATTTGGGAATTTTTGAGCATGTGATATATATATCTATATATTCATTACATCATTTACTCCGTCACATTTCTGGAACATCTGCATGCAGGGACAAGATTCCCTTCAGCTTATACATTTAACTTGAAAGTTAAGAGGGACTAATTAGGGTTAGCAGTTAGATTTCCGTTCATTTTTAAAAAACTATATTCACTCGTTTTTTTTTTATATTGATTCGATTTGGTTTGGTAACTATCGATAAAAATACTCATTTCTAAGATATTTTCGATTTTTTCGACTTTGATTTTTTTTTTACTCACATAAGTCATATTTTTTTCGGTATATGTTATTGTTTCATATTGGTTTGGTTATTTTATTAATAGCCAAATTAACCATCCCACGAATTAATTAATGATACTAGATAACTATATATCAGAATTATTTCCTAATAACGCTAACAATAACTCTCAATAGATATATATTTATATGCGATCAGTGTTTGTGTGTATATATATATATATATTCATAATATTATTTTTAGAGTTTGATGTAGAAAATGAGTTAGAGATTCCAATACTATACGCGATTCATTACTCAACCAACTACTGGAGATTAAATACCTTGGACCAACTGATAAGTTTATTAGAAACTAATAATTCAAGGTTGAAGAAGAGAGTACAGTGTTGTTATGTGTGCATTAGGACCACACATTAAAACTTGACCGTATTCGTTAGCACTTGTCCTCTGAATTAAATGTCGTATTTAATGAAAGAAAAAATATAGTTAGAACTATGTAATAAAAAAAAGGGGCTTTTGTTGAAAGTTGGTTAGGGATGCCAAAATAATAACCAATAATTTATTTGCAAAATGAGGGGATATACCCTTTATTCCTCCTGCCATCGATTTCTTGCTTTTGTTTTTTGGGCAGCGACAGTCATGCTGCATGCAACATGCTGACTGAACCAACTATACAGTTGTAACTTATTTTATATATATATATATATGTATTATTTAACTTTCGTTCCATTTATTCCCATCCATGCTATAATAAAGGAGACTTTTTCTGTATCCATTGCTTGGGGACATTAACTGGTTTAGGTGGATCCACTTTAAAAATAATAATGATTTATAGTAAGGTGGTAAATTTCACTTTGATTCACTAAAATCTTGGTAAAAGTTCAGATATTCTTTCCATTTATGTTATGAAACTTAAAATTTTAAATTGTACGTGTGTTTCTAAAAAAAATGGAATTGAAAATTCGTATTTCATTCGTTGACTAGGGCTAGTAGCAGGCCTCGAACTCTTAATAGGCCCAATACAGAGCCCAGAGTCCGAGAGAAACATTACGATATTGACAAATCAGTTCTTTCTGTTTCATTTTGTCGCAAATTCCCCCCTTGTGCTTTTGTTTTTGTCAATCAGGTCCCCTCCTCGCTGCGGTTCTGGAGTCTGGACAGTCAGCTTTAAGACTTTAACTATTCCCGTATGGATTATACAACTCTCTCAAAATGTTATATGGGGAGGATTTTATAGGGATAGAAACCGAGACCCGGTCCGAATCAAATATTTCGGTTATATATAAATTATAACCATTTGGTTTCTGTATTAACTTTAGAACGGTTCGAATTCAGCTTTGTAATGGTAAAAATTCATTTTTTTAAAAAAAATATCGAGTTTTTTTAATTATTTTTTATTTGATTTTGTTCGATTTTAATTTTTTCGAATTAGAAAAGTTATAAATGTTTGATTTGTATATCAAATTCGATTCGATTACAGTTATATTTTATTCGGTCTAATTTTCTTTTTTTGTGATTCGGTCACATGGAAAGCTCTTTTGTTCACCCGTACTGACAAAATTGAAAGGACAAAATAAAGAGAATACCGCCAAAAATCTTTTAAATATCATTTGGTTTGTTAAAAACTCACATAACTACTTGATATATGTAACTTGAATTTTTTTTAATAAATTTGAAAATAAAATAAAGAACACATAATGCAATATGAAACGTTAATAAAAAAAAGTATGTATTTTGTTTAAGGGATATAATATCACGAAGTTAGCTGTTATACATGTATTATGTATATATTCAATATTCGAGTGAAATGGCATCTGCCCTTGCTACAAAATTAGGATTTGTATCAGTTTCTAATCGAACTAAAATATTATCGTCAAACATTTATAATTAACGAAATTAAGTCACAGTAAAAGTATTTCGGTATATTATATATAAAGGTCGAGGGAAACATTTGGTTGGATCGAGGAGCCATAGTTGGGTTCAATACAGTGGGCCCAATTAAGCCTATTGATATATTGGGCCTCATGGGCCTGCTAGTCACAAAGCAATTGGGTTTGACCAATTGTTTTTTAATTAAAAAAAGAGAAAAGGAAATAAATAAATTAACCGACTCGGTTCGATCGTCGAATCCTCTCTCCGCTAATCAAATTCTTCTCCTCGTCTCGTCATCGATGGCGGACTGGAACCCTAGGCCGGTGCAGTTGTTCGTGAGGCTACTTGACGGTAGATCAGCAACCCTGACCTTCCCCTCCCCTCACGCGTATGGTCACCAGATCAAGCGACGGATCTTCGAGCTTACGAAGATTCCGACGAATCTGCAGCGTCTGATATGCGGCGGTTATCAGATCTCCGATACCGGCGAGGTTTCTCTTCCGGACTCTACCGTGAATCTCGTCCTCTCTCTCAGGGGAGGCAAGGGAGGGTTCGGATCGCTGCTTCGTGGCGCGGCGACGAAAGCTGGGCAGAAGAAGACCAACAACTTCGACGCGTGTAG